TTACGCAGGGCGCACACACATTTCAAATTCTGAACGGAACCATGAACGGGGCGTGTTCAAACCGAGGGTCGCCTTTGACTTGTGCAGAGATCATAGGGGACGAGCCGGGGTTGCGGATGACGAACACTCGCTGAAATGCGTCCGATGAGAGTCTGAATCCTGAACTTGCTCTTCACAGGCGTGGGAGAAACGGCTAGAGGCATCGGAGAAAGAGCTAGTAAGGGCTCGGCTCCGTGAGAAGGAGCTCGAGAGAACAGAGGAGGACAACGCGGCACGTGCCAAGCAGGTAAAACCTCCTTTACCAGCAATGTAATACTCCGGGCGTGGGGAACACTTTGCACTCGCATGGTGCAAACAATGTTTGACCGTTCCTCTGCGCTTGTCTGTTCCGCCGTATGACTACTCGTCCTTCTAGCTCCAAATAAAACGACGCTGTATCAAATCGAGGCTCTTGAGGAGCTAGAGAAGACGCGGAGCGCCCCACCTCTTCGTCCATCTGCCTGACTTTTGAAATCATCAGACGCCTATTGCAGCGTCATCAAAATCTGCTGGAAGCTCGATTGTGGAAACGTAGAGTCATCAATGTTCGTTTTTGAATCGACTAAAAAGATTAACTGACCTTTCATACAGCTAAATCATTGAAAACATCAGAAGTAAAGGAGTTGTGTCTGCCAGATGAAGTTCTGCTCAAACTTCATTCCGGATAAAAGATCCGTAAAAAGTACTCTAAAAAACCAGGTCATCTGACCGGTTTGCTTCCTCTGGGCTCCGTCAGGTGCGGCTGCAGTGCTTCTATTTGCTGGCGCGGTATGCCCGGGGGGCGGCCGCCCGAGCGGAAGCGGAAGAGCGGGCGGAAGAAACGGAACGGCTAGCGACTAAGAAACAGGCGGAACTGCAACTAGACTATGAAAGACGACTGGCGCTTGCTAAGGTGGGGATGATTTGAACAGTGGATGTTTCAAGCTTGGAATGTTTGGTGTCAATTGTGGGGAAATGAGATTTCGAAGATGCTCAGGCATGCGAGACGAACTTACAAGCGCACTGCTCTAAGCTTCAGACTTTAGATGCAAGGTTACAGAGAGGCCTCCAATGCTTGTTTGTCAAGTAAGGCATGGTGGAAGATGCACCAGCGGGACAAGCTGACACAAAGCCAACTCTCACCTCATCAATTAGCATGGTAGGAGCCAATCGAAGCCCGATTTTCAGGTCGTCTTTCTGGAAATAGCTTCAGTCTGCACCCTCTATCTCTTCATGAAGATGTGTCCGACCTTTTCATTAGGACCCACAGATGAAGACGTACCCGCGTTGCCTGAAAGGTTTTTCGAGTGATTTTGGAATGGACTATTACTCACCCGTTACTTCAATCTGCTCAGGAGGAGTCCAACCGGGTCTGCTCCAGTCTCGAGGACGAGCTCTCTT